TTGACTAGGAAGGTTGCCATGTGCTATAGTTTCATTACCATGCGTCGTGCTGCATACGAAATGTCGCCAGGTGCCATAGTTTTATTATCAGGTGTCGTGCTGGATGAGGAAAGTTGCCAGGTGCTATGGTTTCATTACCATGCGTCGTGCTGCATAAGAAATGCCGCCAGGTGCAATAGTTTCGTTACCAGGTGTCGTGCTGGATAAGAAATGTCGCCAGGTACCATAGTTTCATTACCAGGTGTCGTGCTGGATAAGAAATATCGCCAGGTGCCATAGTTTTATTACCAGGTGTCGTGTTGGATAAGAATGTCGCCAGGTGCCATAGTTTCATTACCATGCGTCGTGCTGGATGAGGAAAGTTGCCAGGTGCTATAGTTTCCTTACTAGGTGTCGTACTTGACTAGGAAGGTTGCCAGGTGCTATAGTTCCATTACCATGCATCGTACTTGACTAGGAAGGTTGCCAGGTACTATAGTTTCCTTACTAGACGTCATACTTGACAAGGAAGGTTGCCAGGTGCGATAGTTTCATAACCAGGCGTGTTGCTTGATTAGGAAGGTTGCCAGGTGCGATAGTTTCATTACCAGGCATGTTGCTGGATTAGGAAGGTTGCCAAGTGCGATAGTTTCATTACTTGGCGTCGTACTTGACAAGGAAGGTTGCCAGGTGCGATAGTTTCATTACCATGCGTCGTACTTGACTAGGAAGATTGCCAGGTGCTATATAGTTTCCTTACTAGACGTCATACTTGACAAGGAAGGTTGCCAGGTGCTATAGTTTCATTACTAGGCGTCGTACTTGACAAGGAAGGTTGCCCGGTGCGATAGTTTCATTACCATGCGTCGGACTTGACTAGGAAGATTGCCAAGTGCTATATAGTTTCCTTACTAGACATCATACTTGACCAGGAAGGTTGCCAGGTGCTATATAGTTTCCTTACTAGACATCATACTACTATGGCACCTGACATCTTTCCTCATCCAGCACGACGCTTGGTAATAACACTATGGCACCTGACATCCTTCCTCATCCAGCGCTGGATGAGGAAAGTTGCCAGGTGCTATAGTTTCATTACCATGCGTCGTACTTGACTAGGAAGGTTGCCATGTGCTATAGTTTATTACCATGCGTCGTGCTGCATAAAAAATGCCACCAGGTGCAATAGTTTCGTTACCAGGTGTCGTGCTGGATGAGGAAAGTTGCCAGGTGCTATAGTTTCATTACCATGCGTCGTGCTGCATAAGAAATGCCACCAGGTGCAATAGTTTCGTTACCAGGTGTCGTGCTGGATAAGAAATATCGCCAGGTGCCATAGTTTTATTACCAGGTGTCGTGTTGGATAAGAATGTCGCCAGGTGCCATAGTTTCATTACCATGCGTCGTGCTGGATGAGGAAAGTTGCCAGGTGCTATAGTTTCCTTACTAGGTGTCGTACTTGACTAGGAAGGTTGCCAGGTGCTATAGTTTCATTACCATGCGTCGATCTTGAATAGGAAGGTTGCCAGGTGCTATAGTTTCCTTACTAGACGTCATACTTGACAAGGAAGGTTGCCAGGTGCGATAGTTTCATTACCAGGCGTGTTGCTGGATTAGGAAGGTTGCCAAGGGCGATAGTTTCATTACTAGGCGTCGTACTTGACAAGGAAGGTTGCCAGGTGCGATAGTTTCATAACCAGGCGTGTTGCTTGATTAGGAAGGTTGCCAGGTGCGATAGTTTCATTACCAGGCGTGTTGCTGGATTAGGAAGGATGCCAAGTGCGATAGTTTCATTACTAGGCGTCGTACTTGACAAGGAAGGTTGCCAGGTGCGATAGTTTCATTACCAGGCGTGTTGCTGGATTATGAAGGTTGCCAGGTGCGATAGTTTCATTACTAGGCGTCGTACTTGACTAGGAAGGTTGCCAGGTGCTATAGTTTCCTTACTAGACGTCATACTTGACAAGGAAGGTTGCCAGGTGCTATAGTTTCATTACCATGCGTCGTACTTGACTAGGAAGGTTGCCAGGTGCTATATAGTTTCCTTACTAGACGTCATACTTGACAAGGAAGGTTGCCAGGTGCGATAGTTTCATTACCAGGCGTCGTGCTTGATTAGGAAGGTTGCCAGGTGCGATAGTTTCATTACCAGGTGTGTTGCTGGATTAGGAAGGTTGCCATGTGCGATGGTTTCATTACCAGGCGTGTTGCTGGGTTGGGAAGGTTGCCAAGTGCGATAGTTTCATTACTAGGCGTCGTACTTGACTAGGAAGGTTGCCAGGTGCTATAGTGTCCTTACTAGACGTCATACTTGACAAGCAAGGTTGCCAGGTGCTATAGTTTCATTACCATGCGTCGTTCTTGACTAGGAAGGTTGCCAGGTGCTATATAGTTTCCATACTAGACGTCATACTTGACAAGGAAGGTTGCCAGGTGCTATAGTTTACTTACTAGACGTCATTCTTGACAAGGAAGGTTGCCAGGTGCTATAGTTTCATTACTAGACGTCATACTTGACAAGGAAGGTTGCCAGGTGCTATAGTTTCATTACCAGGCGTGTTGCTGGATTAGGAAGGTTGCCAGGTGCGATAGTTTCATTACCAGGCGTGTTGCTGGATTAGGAAGGTTGCCATGTGCGATAGTTTCATTACCAGGCGTGTTGCTGGATTAGGAAGGTTGCCAGGTGCGATAGTTTCATTACCAGGCGTGTTGCTGGATTAGGAAGGTTGCCAGGTGCGATAGTTTCATTACCAGGCGTGTTGCTGGATTAGGAAGGTTGCCATGTGCGATAGTTTCATTACCAGGCGTGTTGCTGGATTAGGAAGGTTGCCAGATGCAATAGTTTAATAACCAGCTGTGGTGCTGGATGAAATATATTGCTAGGTGGGTAGGTTTAATTACCATTTTATTCTGATTTCTGTTTCTTAACTGTTGATAAAACTGATGCAACGTATAAAGGGAGTTATTCACAATGTTGGACAGGTATATTTCAATATTGTGGTAAATGCAGATATTGTGTTATGTTTGGTTTCAGCATTAAACCTTTCATCTATAATTTTAAGAACAGTTCAGTTTGGAATGACATGAAAGTCACCAGTCCTATATAATGTCCTCCACACAGCCAGGCAGTGACAATGTCAGATCTGATGTCAAAAACACAATAAAGAAATGACATAACATTAATGTGCTGTTGTACGTCATACATGACACAAAGGATCATTGATGTCAAGGAAACCTAACGAAACCACAATTATAGTTTGTTTCTGTAATGTACTGCAAATTATCTATATGTGTTTACATTTGTTATAGTTGTTTCTGTAATGTACTACAGATTATGTATATGTGTTTACATTTGTTATAGTTTGTTTCTGTAATGTACTACAGATTATCTATATGTGTTTACATTTGTTTGTTTGTTTCTGTAATGTACTACAGATTATCAATATGTGTTTACATTTGTTAGAGTTTGTTTCTGTAATGAACTACAAAATGTGTTATAGTTGATTCTGTAATGTACTACAGATTATGTATATGTGTTTACATTTGTTACAGTTTGTTTCTGTAATGTACTACAGATTATCTATATATGTTTACATTTGTTATAGTTGTTTCTGTAATGTACTACAGATTATTTATATGTGTTTACATTTGTTATAGTGGTTTCTGTAATGTACTACAGATTATCTATATGTGTTTACATTTGTTACAGTTTGTTTCTGTAATGTACTACAAAATTTGTTATAGTTGATTCTATAATGTACTACAGATTATGTATATGTGTTTACATTTGTTATAGATTGTTTCTGTAATGTACTACAGATTATCTATATATGTTTACATTTGTTATAGTTGTTTCTGTAATGTACTACAGATTATATATATGTGTTTACATTTGTTATAGTTTGTTTCTGTAATGTACTACAGATTATTTATATGTGTTTACATTTGTTATAGTTGATTCTGTAATGTACTACAGATTATCTTTAATTGTTTACATTTGTTATAGTTTGTTTCTGTAATGTACTACAGAATCAACTATAACAAATGTAAACAATTAAAGATAATCTGTAGTACATTACAGAAACAAACTGTAACAAATGTAAACACATATACATAATCTGTAGTACATTATAGAATCAACTATAACAAATGTAAACAATTAAAGATAATCTGTAGCACATTACAGAATCAACTATAACAAATGTAAACAATTAAAGATAATCTGTAGTACATTACAGATTATTTATATGTGTTAACAATTGTTATAGTTTGTTCCTGTAATGTACCACAGATTATTTGTATGTGTTAACATTTGTTATAGTTTGTTTCTGTAATGTTCTGTAGATATTTAAATTTTGTAAATAATTATTTTATGGTAATGCACTGTAGATTATCAGTACTTTCATGACACTTAATTTTGCAATCTGACATTGTTGTACTTAATCACAAGGATATAAATTAGTATTACACTCAATGTGTATGTCTTAGGTCATGTATAAACTAGAGAAACTTTGAGTGAGCTAACAAACATAAACCCCCAGCTAGCGCCTACAATGTTTCTTTAACAGAAATGAAAGTTTCAAGGGCCATAACTCCAGGGAAATTAGTCGAATCACAAATTTCTTTATATTATTATGCTCATTTTATATACAATGTTCTGTCACGGTGCCAAATTACCAAAATTCCACTCACATGGTTTCTGGAACAGAGAGTTTCAAGGGCCATAACTCTAGGGAAATTAGTCAAATCACAAGTTACAGACAGATGGACCGGGTGATTCCTATATAGCCCCCTACCATAACAATAGTTCATGTGATACTGAAATAATTGGTCAATGATAACAGGAATTCACATGCAAATAAATATAATAGAAGACATCAATATTTTCTGATTAGTTTTTTGTGCGAGATGTTAATAATATTTTTTGTATCTTTTCCCATTTTCATCTTTTCTACAGATACAACAGTAACTGAATAGTAACATGATTTAGATCACTCAATAATTAAGAGCTTTGAAAGTGGGTATTTTTAGTTTTAAAAGTAAAATTTCTGAATTAGAGTATTACTGTTTTATTCATCAAATGTTGACACATCTGCGGTGCAAGATACACATGTCCTCTACTCGATACTTATGTACAGATCAAAGTCAAACAATACATTATTTTAAACAATACTTCTTTTATATGCAGACTATTCTCAAGTATTATATACAACGGTGAACATGAAAAATGCCTCAAAACTGTTTCAAACAGCATTACAGATGTGCCTCATATACAAAACATGTTACATTTAATTACCTGCAATTATCTTATCAATAAATAATGTTACATCTTATACTCTTAATTATAGAACTGAAAATTAAATCTGGATTGGAAATTACATTTACAAAGTTTGCCATAACGGCAATCATGTCAATGAAAAATAGAAAATGTGGACATTTTGGCCAAATTGTTCATTGCTATGTTAGCTTTATGAGACAAATTCAAATTCTCAAATCTTTTATATCTTAACAAATACAGTATTTCCTGTTTCAACAAAAAAGACTTTTTGAATCCCTTTATATGTAGTTTAATTTGTGAATTTCAATATTAAAAACCCATTTAACTTGTTAATTTGACATTTTAAAATTGAACAGTCTTCAATGAAAACTTTGTGCACAATAAAGCTAACCAGGTTTGAACATTTTGGTTCTGTAGTTAGAGCATGGTTAATATTGCTTTTCTCTTAAAACTCACATCTAAAACTTGATATTTTGCTGGAAATATAAATGCAAAAATGTAAGCCTTCTTCAAAAGCAGCACCATTTCACAGTTGGTTTGCAACTTAGATATGTATGGGAAAATACACTTTGAATTTTAGTTGTTTGCAAAAGGACAAAATGTTTGTATATATATTATATATGTAACAGATTTGATAATACTTATGAGATACAAAAATGAAATTCAAATTCTGCATGGCACAACTGTTTGTTTTCTTTTAAAAATAAGTTTGCAGAATGTACATTTACAGTGAATTGACCTGTCCTGCCTTGGTCTAGGAGGTCACTGATAGTCCTATTGAGGTGCTGGCAGCTTCACACTGGGAAATACTGACAAAATACAATCAATAAACTGGAATCATGGCATTGTATGAATTAACCAACAAATAAGTATTTACTCGACACCAACAGTTGGTCTAGGTATGCTGAGGAGTATACATTATAGGGTAAAACGTAGTACCAGACCTGTGATTTGGGCCTTGGTCATGAGTGAAAAAATAGCAAGGTCAGAGGTCAAGGCCACATCAAAATTAGTGACCTGATTTGAAATTTAGCACACTGAACTCAGAATACAATAAGATCTCGATTTCTATCTCTTACTCTTTTCAGAAACATAAGGTCCAGTTTAACGTACTTATTTTGAAATTTGCTCTTAATGTAGAAAATGAAAAGTCCAATAACATATTTATATTATTTGACAGTAGACAAAATTTGCAATATCAAATAACATTAAATCTAGAGGAAGTATGTAAGGCATACTGCATGAAGTCAAAGCTAGTGTTGTAGACTGATTTTTGTCTCATTTAATGACGAATACCTAAATAGAAATCCTCCTAGTAATGATAATGATGGCTATAAAGCACCAACAAAGGGCAAAATCTATCCAATATTGTAATGGGGAGGGATGCTGGTTTGTACAATGATGTAATGTATTCACTAATGAACCGGATTAATGATAGGGTATTTCCTGTATAAACTATCCTGTGTGGATTCTCAATATCACTACAACAATCATTATTTCAGTTTTCATTCAATGAAATCCAACCCGAGTGTCTCTTGACATACATATAGGAAGTCTTACCCAATGTGTCTCCCTGTCTTACAAATACAGAAAAAAAAACCTACACAGAAGATCATTAAAAGCACCTCTTTTCCTTGTAAGTACATACTATGGAAATTAATTCAAGTTTTTACCCCCCTAAAGGGAAATCCAACCACAGTGTCTTTTCCTATCATATACATGGTCTCCCTGGCTTGTACACAGGAAAATCCAATCCAAGCATCTGTCCTACATAAAGAAACTCTAACCAAACTGTCTCTCTGCACATGTCTGAGAGTGTCTGTACCCCACACACAGGGAAATCTAACCCAAGAGTGTCTGTACCCCACACACAGGGAAATCCAACCCAAGAGTGTCTGTATCCCACACACAGGGAAATCCCACCCAAGAGTGCCCGTACCACACGCACAGGGAAATCCAGACCAGGAGTGTACGTACCCCACGTACAGGGAAGTCTAACCCAAATGTTTCTGTACCCCACGTACAGGGAAGTCCAACCCAAAAGTTTCCATATCCCTGCTTACAGGGAAGTCCAACCCAAATGTTTCCATATCCCTGCTTACAGGGAAGTCCAACCCAAATGTTTCTGTACCTCACATACACGGAAGTCCAACCCAAATGTTTCCGTACCCCACTTTCAGGGAAGTCCAACCCAATTGTTTCTGTACCCCACGTACAGGGAAGTCCAACCCAAATGTTTCCATATCCCTGCTTACAGAGAAGTCCAACCCAAATGTTTCCATACCCCACGTACAGGGAAATTCAGCCTAAATGTTTCCATATCTCCACTTACAGGGAAGTCCAACCCAAATGTTTTCATACCCCACATACCGGGAAGTCCAACCCAAATGTTTTCATACCCCACATACAGGGAAGTCCAACCCAAATGTTTCCGTACCCCACTTACAGGGAAGTCAAACCCAAATGTTTCCGTACCCCACTTTCAGGGAAGTCCAACCCAAATGTTTCTGTACCCCACTTACAGGGAAGTCCAACCCAAATGTTTCCATATCCCCGCTTACAGGGAAGTACAACCCAAATGTTTCCATACCCCACGTACAGGGAAATTCAACCTAAATGTTTCCATATCTCCACTTACAGGGAAGTCCAACCCAAATTTTTCCGTACCCCACTTACAGGGAAGTCCAACCCAAATGTTTCCGTACCCCACTTACAGTAAAGTCGAACCTAAATGTTTCCATACCCCACTTACAGGGAAGTCCAACCCAAATGTTTCCGTATCCCACGTACAGGGAAGTCCAACCCAAATGTTTCCATACCCCACTTACAGGGAAGTCCAACCTAAATGTTTCCATACCCCACTTACAGGGAAGTCCAACCCAAATGTTTCCGTATCCCACGTACAGGGAAGTCCAACCTAAATGTTTCCATACCCCACTTACAGGGAAGTCCAACCCAAATGTTTCCGTATCCCACGTACAGGGAAGTCCAACCTAAATGTTTCCATACTCCACGTACAGGGAAGTCCAACCCAAATGTTTCCATACCCCACTTACAGGGAAGTCCAACCTAAATGTTTCCGTATCCCACGTACAGGGAAGTCCAACCCAAATGTTTCCATACCCCACGTACAGGGAAGTCCAACCGTAAATGTTTCTGTACCCCACGTACAGGGAAGTCCAACCCAAATGTTTTCCTTATGTACCACAAAGTGCTGATTTAATATGTATCCAGAATGACAACAAACACTTATGAACAATCTCTTTTCTACAGCATTACAATGTTATAATAAGACAATTCCCAACTCTGCTCATGACAAACAGAACATAGTTTTATCAAAAACATACATCATAGCTATAATACATATACAACAAATCATCTAATGATATGGACATTCTTTAAAAAAACATGTGAGAAAGTGATGGGAGGTGAAGTTGGTACATGTATCTAGAGCTGAATCTAGAAATAGCTGTGGGGAATAAGTATATTGTATGTAAAAGTCTCTGTATGAAACAGAATGTTCAGAATGAGTCTTTATGGGGTCCACTGTGGTAATAGGGGTGTGTTAGTCCAAAATAGGGTTCTGAAGGGAAAGAAACTGTTAATTTATATCTAACTGATACAGAATAGGGTTTGTAAAAACAAAATATTAACGAGGATAAAGAGAAGTCTGAACTAATAAATGTTTTCAATTGTAATGCAGCTAGAACAACCTCCCAGTGATAAAAAGATGATGAAAACCTACAACTGTTAAGTTTTTTTCTCTCAAAGGAATGTCCTTAGTAATACAGAACTGACCTACCAACCATCCTTGTGTACATACGAGACAATCCACAACTCATTCACCCCTGAAGACACATTTGAACTCTTTCAGGGGTGAATGAGTTCATGTATACAAAACACCATCTATGTGTATACAAAACAGAGGAAATCAACATGCCTAGCAACATGGTAAACAATTTACATTATAATACTATTGGTGTTACCTGACCCTTGTACTCCCCAATAGGTCAGCACCACACTATTATACTGACCACCTCCCATATGAGTCCATCTAGTTCTGTAATATGCTATCATTGTATCACAATGGCCCCACTTTACTATAACATGAGTGGTCAGTAATAAATGAATATCTAAAATTTCTCACTAATGATTTTGTAACCATATACATGTTATTACATATGCCATAACTTGATTACTGATCATCAAGCTAATATATAAAATAAATCTGTCGTACAATGATGGATTCCCAGTACAGGTGGTACATCATTTTATAGGTGCAGGTATTTCCTGAAAATACTTAAATGATCCAAAATGGGTCATTTAATCCAGATGCGCTGTTGTGTTATATAATTACTTTATCAGTGAAATTAAGGGCATATTTCTGATTACTCGTATAATATACCTGAACTATATACCGACATTCATGTACGGTCAAAAATAAAGCCCATTTCAAATGAACTTTTAGATAGTCAGTAACAGTTGTCTATACCTGTCTGGTTGTAACATGTTAACATCATTACTGACTGTTCAATTCATTGATATCCACAGACTCACCATCTTATACACACTCTTTTAAGTGTGATGTCATCTTAAATACTAAGTCTGCTTCAGTGACTAATATTCAGTCTTCTTCGGTCTGTGTCTAATATCAGTCTGATGTCCTATACTCAGTCTGATGTCCTATACTCAGTCTGATGTCTGATGTCCTATACTCAGTCTGATGTCGGATGTCTATTACTCAGTCTGATGTCCTATACTCAGTCTGATGTCCTATACTCAGTCTGATGTCTGATGTCCTATACTCAGTCTGATGTCGGATGTCTATTACTCAGTCTGATGTCCTATACTCAGTCTGATGTCTGGTGTCTAATACTCAGTCTGATGTCCTATACTCAGTCTGCTATTCTGATTTCTAATACATAGTCTGATGTCTAATACTCAGTCTGATGTCCTATACTCAGTCTGATGTCTGATGTCTATTACTCAGTCTGATGTCCTATACACAGTCTGCTAGTCTGATGTCTAATACTCAGTCTGCTAGTCTGATGTCTAATACTCAGTCTGATGTCCTATACTCAGTCTGATGTCTGATGTCTATTACTCAGTCTGATGTCCTATACTCAGTCTGCTAGTCTGATGTCTAATACTCAGTCTGCTAGTCTGATGTCTAATACTCAGTCTGATGTCCTATACTCAGTCTGATGTCTGATGTCTATTACTCAGTCTGATGTCCTATACTCAGTCTGCTATTCTGATGTCTAATGCTCAGTTTGTTACTGTCTAGTTTCCTATACTCAGATGTCTAATAGTCATTCTTCTACAGTCTGATGACAAAAGTAAGAGCACATATACATTTAATAGGTAAAGTATATACACAAAACATGTTTGTCATTTGTGCTTGCAGATACAAACAAAAAAACAACTTTATTTACAGAATGATTTTAACTAATTTATGCAATGATTCCATATCAAAGGTTAACCCTAAGCTATAAAACACAGACTGAACTAGTATTCACACATTGTAATAAAAAGTCTGTAGCAATGTGCAAAACAAAAATAGTTACAAAGGGAGACAACTCTGTCTTACAAAATGTACATCCTAAATCACAGATCAATACTAGAGCTACTGCCACGGAAATGTTAGCTTTAACACCATGGCATATGAGGAAACTATCACACCCTCTAATGTTAGGCTAAATATGGTGACCATAACAACCCTTAAACATCGCACTTTACACTCACAAGTGTGATGAGTCGTCATAGAAACAAAAAGAGGGAAATATATTACTTGTCATGATACATAGAGACATATTACAATATATTTAACTGTATGACACAGTAATGTTGATAATTTGCTGTATTACAGATGATGGATCTGGCCACAGAAAGGATGAGAGTCCTTCCACAAGGACAGGTCTGTCAGTTGTAAATGAGTGATAACTTGTTGATGGTGCTGAGTGTGAGGAATCCAGACTGGTAGCACCGTCTGATCTAGCATGTCATTAGTTCACCAGAAGGTGGCCACAGGCCTAAGGCAGTGACCACTGGCTATCTATTACCAGGCCTAATCAGGACCAGTTGATAAGGTGGTCAGCCACTGTTACACACTGTTACAGCTAGGATTGGGGAGAGTCCCTACACTGACTACTGTCTACAGCTGTGAAGATCAATGAAGGGGTGTGGCCAGGCAAGAGTCCACCAGAGTGGACACTGGTCATAATGGTCACTGGTCTCGGTCCTCTGCACTTATGTTATCCGAGCTGGCCACACGGCTTATCTCCTGGACCAACTCAGCATGTTCATCCAGCATCTTCTCCAGGTCCTTTTTACGCTGCTCTGCGTTCTCCTACAATGACAAGAACTTTGTTAAAAGACAGATTACAACACTGTACAACTTTTGTCTTTCCCATTTTGCTCCCCTTATTCCCATAGACTTTTGTCTTTCCCATTTTGCTCCCCTTATTCCCATAGACTTTTGTCTTTCCCATTTTGCTCCCCTTATTCCCATAGACTTTTGTCTTTCCCATTTTGCTCCCCTTATTCCCATAGACTTTTGTCTTTCCCATTTTGCTCCCCTTATTCCCATAGACTTTTGTCTTTCCCATTTTGCTCCCCTTATTCCCATAGACTTTTGTCTTTCCCATTTTGCTCCCCTTATTCCCATAGACTTTTGTCTTTCCCATTTTGCTCCCCTTATTCCCATAGACTTTTGTCTTTCCCATTTTGCTCCCCTTATTCCCATAGACTTTTGTCTTTCCCATTTTGCTCCCCTTATTCCCATAGACTTTTGTCTTTCCCATTTTGCTCCCCTTATTCCCATAGATTTGTTTTCGATTCTTGATACATTTGACTGACCACACATTAATGTACAATATCTCACTTTTTGTGACAATGGCACAATCAACATAACTGATCAAGTTGTGGTGACCCTTAATCTTCTGCCTGCTGGTTATTATTTTTCACATCATGAACAATTAAATCAACATGAAATTTATTGTGGTCACAGATTAAAGCAGGGGAATATCTAGATGTCATGCAGCATGTTTGTGAATGGGTGGATGCTTGCAAATGAACCTTGGTACTGTATCCACATGTGTGTGCATATGATTTTCATCCATACAAATAATTAAATACAAAAATATCCATTCTTTTGTTTTTGCAACAGCTGAAAGTTTAATATATAAATGAAACTAGGAAACAGTCACATTGCAAATCAACAGTATAGAAAATATAGTTGGGGGCTGTTTGATGTTTACATGCAATGTGCAGACAGTTTTTCTTATAAATGAGTACACGGGTATATCAACAGAGGAACCTATAGCCACTAGGCATGGCATTTACTGACACTAAACTGATTACTGTCTCATCATGCAAGCATTGATTATAGATACACAACTAAAATAAACAATGTATAGGCAGATAAGCAATGCTGGAAAAACACAGATTAGTACAGAACATTGTTATATAATATAAGGCAGCAGAGGTTTAAATACTGAGAGATTGGCATATATAATCCAGTCCATCAATAACATGAGTTATCTAACTATTAACTGATTTTATAGCCCCCAACTCTTACACTATCAGTAAGTGTATATCCCCCTCAACACTGCTAGTTTTTTTTACAGCATTAGTAAATACCATACCACAAGTTTGTGTAGCCCCCCCCCCCCCCCCCCCTACACTTCAATTGTTTTACTCCCAACCCATATAATACAAGTCTGTATGTTCAATTCCCTTGATGGTAGTGTAATTATCAGCCCTTGTGATATTTCTGTTTAATTCCTGTTCATTATCAAGTTCGCCCCATTTGTCATTTGTAAATTCACCTGTCAGATACAGACATGTGCTACAGCAGTCGACACCTGTAGTAAAACCTTTACACAGGTGGTATAACACCATTGTCATACCTGTCTTACACCTGATTCAGATATAAAACACAATATCCTGTTGTTTGTAATGATTCCTAAAGCCTAGACTTAGCTGTAGTTATAAGTAGCAAGTCTGTTAAAACTGCTGACTATAGAAAGCAGATTAAATGAAAACAAAAATCTGACAAATTCTTCAAATTTGTCCGCAACACAATAAAGGCACTTCCTAAATAAAAACAAAAATCTGACTAATTTTTTCAAATTTGTCCGAAACACAATAACGGCACTTCCTAAATAAAAACAAAAAACTGACTAATTCTTCAAATTTGTCACACACAGATGGGACAATCTCAGTAAGCACTTATGTTAAAAACTCCGGGTGGATAATAAGCTTGTTTTGATAGATTTAAAGTCTTACTAAGGGGTGTGTGTGGATGTGCAGTATGATCTCTCAGATTATATAAGGATTAATTATACACAGCAGATTATGTCATTTATTTTTTTAAATGTACCAGGTTTTTTTCATTATTTTCTCACTTTCACATTTTTGTATGAAGTTCAAAAGGAAGATTGGTGGTGGGGTGGGGGGATGGACTGGTCTTGAAACCCAATGCAGTAATAATTGGTCAGTACATTGCCATAATTATCAATCAGTTTGTTTGCACTCTTTTTTATATTTACTATATTTTCAACTTTATTTATTTTCAAAGCAAGACTTATTTTTGTTGAAAAGTGATGTATGGATATATTGGGCACAAGTGATGGACAAATATTTTATGTTTTAGAAGAGAGTTTTACATTAAGATAATTGATTTTTGTTTTGAGATGAAGAGCTGTAAATCTGGGCAGGCTAACCAGGCTGTATATCCTGTTTGTGTACACCTGCTTCTTACAACTGTTTGTTTGTACCTCTCTCTGACGTCTGTACAATGTATCTCAATTGTTGGCCATTAAATGCGATATATTCTTCCCTTTTTACGGCACGCAGGTCTATTAATAACAATTTTGTAAGATGCGGTTGCCTGTATTTGGTGCCTGCTAAGTTTCAGACAGCTGGTCAATACTGCATGACGTAGCCTGTAAGCTCACCCACCCAAAATAACTTTTAATCTGTAAATATATATAGGTATATAGATACCATTCCCCTGTAAATGTCAGGGAACACTACCAGACTTAAGACTCCAAGGTTCTTCCTGATCAACACACAAACATCCAGCAACTTAATAATTCACAAAAACTTGATGAGTTCTATATATAATTCAAAATGTATCGAAGTTGAAAGCTAGGTAAAAAGTCTCCAGTGTATTGAAGATAAGTCCAGACAGATGGATGCCAATTTAAAAAAAAAAGAGAACTGAAATACACACTATGAAGAAGACATTTTCATCGTTACAGGTATTTGTTTGATCTGATAATTACTTAGTTAAGAATAGCTAGCATGTAGACAACTCCAGGATTGGCAGCGATACAGGATGTGCACTACAGGGCTTATCAAATTATTTTGTAGTAGTTGATGATATAGCATACAATGATGGAATTCCAGTCTATGGAAAGTCTACTTCCCAGCAGGTACCTCTTCTCACTTAAACATCTACATAGAGACTGCTTGCATCAAAGTAAACTTTTAATTCAAGCTGCATTGTTGGTCAATGAAAGCTTATATACATAAGATTTATTGTTAAAAAACAAGATTTTTCTTTGATCTGTTTGCTTAAAAAACCCTTATCCTTTCAGTTGGTTTTCCGTTAAAATCACACCGGGATGTTTGTTTTATTGTCTGAAAATCACCACTGAAATGCAGCATTCACAGTACATAATAGTTGTTTGAGTGTGACATTTACTGCACATCAATCATTATAAACCCATATACCAGCTGTTGAGACCTGTAGATTACAGAAAGGTTTCCAGTGCTTCCAAAAATGTGTTAAATAAACCTGTCATTAAGTTAATTCTGGACTTCTGGACAAGACGGTGAGGGGGTAACATACTCAGATAGGTGTGTATATTCTAGGGACTTACCAGGTAGTCTTGTAGCTGTATTGTATGATAAATCATTCCTAGGGATATAATCTAGTAGCTATACTGTATAATAAATCTTTCCTAGGGATGTCCTATACTCAGTCTGAGTATAGGACATCAGACATCAGACTGAGTATGGGACATCAGACTGAGTATAGGAATAGCTACAAGAATTTGTCCCTAGGATATATTTATTATACAGTATAGCTTCTAGATTATATCCCTAGGAATGATTTATCATACAATACAGATACAAGACTACCTGGTAGCTGTATTGTATGATAAATCTATCCTAGGGACATAATCTAGTAGCTATACTGTATAATAAATCATTCCTAGGGATATAATCTAATAGCTTTACTATATAATAAATCTATCCTAGGGACATAATCTAGTAGCTATACTGTATAATAAATCTATCTTAGGGACAAATTCTTGTAGCTATACTGTATGATAAATCTTTCCTAGGGACAGTCTTGTAGCTGTATTGTATGATAAATCTATCCTAGGGACATAGTCTTGTAGCTATACTGTATAATAAATCATTCCTAGGGACATAGTCTTGTAGCTATACTGTATAATAAATCATTCCTAGGGACATAGTCTTGTAGCTTTACTGTATAATAAATCTTTCCTAGGGACATAGTCGTGTAGCTTTACTGTATGAAAAATCAATTCTAGGGATATAGTCTTGTAGCTATACTGTATAATAAATCATTCCTAGGGACATAGTCTTGCAGCTATACTGTAAAATAAATCATTCCTAGGGACATAGTCGTGTAGCTTTACTGTATAATAAATCTTTCCTGGGGACATAGTCTTGTAGCTATACTGTATAATAAATCTTTCCTAGGGACATAGTCTTGTAGCTGTATTGTATGATAAATCTTTCCTAGGGATATAATCTAGTAGTTATACTGTATAATAAATCTTTCCTAGGGACAAAGTCTTGTAGCTATTTTGTATAATAAATCTTTCCTAGGGACATAGTCGTGTAGCTTTACTGTATAATAAATCTTTCCTGGGGACATAGTCTTGTTGCTATACTGTATAATAAATCATTCCTAGGGACATAGTCGTGTAGCTATACTGTATAATAAATCTTTCCTGGGGACATAGTCTTGTATCTATACTGTATAATAAATCATTCCTAGGGACAAAGTCTTGTAGCTATACTGTATGATAAATCTTTCCTAGGGACATAGTCTTGTAGCTGTATTGTATGATAAATACCTAGGGATATAATCTAGTAGCTATACTGTATGAAAAATCTTTCCTAGGGATATAGTCTTGTAGCTGTATTGTATGATAAATCTTTCCTTGGGATATAATCTAGTAGCTATACTGTATAATAAATCTTTCCTGGGGACAAAGTCTTGTAGCTATACTGTATAATAAATCTTTCCTAGGGACAAAGTCTTGTAGCTATTTTGTATAATAAATCTTTCCTAGGGATATA